CTACGGAGATTTTTACGCTAACTATTGTCTGTACAGTATGTAAATTAGGTACCGTAAGTCTAATACAGTACTGTAATTTTATGTTTCTTTTCAATAAAATCAGTCACTTTCTGATAATACCTCAAGATTTTGTTTATCAAACGAGATCCTTCCACGACAAAGCAAGCACACAGACTGAGACCGATAAACAGAAGTGAATAAAAAATGGCGCTGCGAATTAATGTAACATTGTATGGTGAGTTTTTGTTCATATCGTGGAGCAAAAATACAAGGGTAGGCTGAAAAGTAATGCACACATGCTTGTAGAGCGTGGACGAAATGATTTTCAGAAACATGCCAGGTGGCATATGGAAGTAACATTTCCCCTCTATGCGCATGTGCAGTTTGAGGTTGTTGCGTTCATTCAGTATATTTTGAGAAGTGGAAATATGGAGACGTGTTCTAGTTCTATGTCAAAGTGACTTAAACAGCGTGCTGTTATCAAATTTTTAACTGCTGAAAAAGTGACTCCTACTGAGATTCATCATTGTTTAAAGGCTGTTTATGATAATGATGCTGTTGGTAGGTCTACTGTAAATCGATGAATAATAAAATTTGGTGGTTGCGAGCCTGGAAAAGCCATAATTGTTGATGAAACACACAGCGGAAGTCCGATCACTGCCACAGACAAATACCGTTGCACCTTATTGCAATGTTTAATTCTTCTCAGTACATACAGACTCTAAAACATCTCTGATGTTGAGTTTGACATGTTAGAGGCAGCCTGGCACCAATAAACTTGCAACAAGAGAACGCTCGTCCACACATCTCGCGCACAACTGGAGAGGCTTTGCGAAACCTGAAGTTCGAACCGATTCCACACCCTCCTTATTCCCCCAATCTTGCGCCTTGCAATTTTTATTTTTTCCTCTACTCAAGAGGTGATCATTACACCTCAAACGATGAGGTTGAAGGCAGCTGTCAAGTTCTGGATTCGAGAAAAGTCGGAATAATTTTTCAGTGACGGAATGAAAAAAATTGTTGCACGTTGGGAGAAATGTGTTATCCTTAACGGTGACTATGTTGAAAAATAAATATATGATTTTGAAGCTTAAGAATTGTACTTTAATGTACTTTTTGCCTGATCTTGCTATTTGTTTTTGTTTGTGTTCTACAAGCATGTGTGCATTACTTTTCAGCCTACCCATGTATGTTCGAATTTCATATCGTATCCTGAAAATTTCGTATGCTGGAGCATTTGTATCCTGAGGTACCACTGTATGTGCAAGCAACAAATGATACATACTTAAAACAGAAGGCTTAATTAAGGAATGAAAACTTTATTAAGTCAGTAAATAAAAGTTCTGATTCCTGAATTATGCATTCTGTTTTAAGTATTTACCATGGTGAAAGTAATCAGGACAGTTTCAACAAATTCTATTCTGGATGAACAATTTTAGACTCATTTAGCTTGTGGACACATTAATTCTTGTTCTTATGGGTTCATATATGTTTGGAATTAAGTTTCAAGACTGAATACACTGTAGACCTTTATACTTACAAATGATGTTCCCAGCATTCTCTTAGTGATTTAATATACTCTGCAAAGAAAATTTAACAGTAATATTTGTTTATAAAAACAACTTAAATAAGCATTTAAGGGTATATGGGATGTTTAAAATATTTTAAATTCATTATCAGTAGTAATAATGAACAAATGTCTAAAACATTAAAATTTTTCTAGGATGACAAAAGGAAGTATCCTTACATGACCGACAGCGAACCAAAAGCAAAGAAACGAAGAACACGAGAATAATTAAGTTATTCGTAAAAAGTCTTTTGTACAGAAACATTCCATTTCATAGTCATAAAAAACTTTTGTAATATCTTTATTAATAAAAATTTTCTAAGTATTATTGAAATTTTATGCAGTATACAGGAGATCAGGTATGTCAAATGTTTAGATTTTATAATGATTAGTAAGTTGAGAATGCTTTAGACACTTGAAAGACAAACATTTTCAATAAGTGTTTAAGTTATGATTAATAACTACTTAATAAATAAATGTTTAATATATAATGTACAACAGTTTCCATAAAAACCATAAAACATATACAAAAAAACATTAGGTTAGAATGAAAAACCACTTTGCATTATAATGCAAATGTTTTTAATACATTTTTTGCTAAATTTTATATATTTGGTACATAACTCTTATAATTTACTAGCAATTTTAGTTTTTTTTTTTTGTGTACTCTTACATTGCAAATTTACCAAATAAAATTGTGATATTACATACATAAATATAAATTCATACTATCCTATAGTTCAATTGAAAAATGAGAAATGTATGCAAGAATTTTTAAAATAAGTTGTAACTATTCCTAATTAGAAATAAATTTTATCTCTAATAGTAAGATCAGATATGTTATTCAGTTGAAAACATCAGGTACTGTACATGAAATTTATGTATTAATAATATTTATATTACAAAAAGTTTTACTACTAATTTGATTTTAAACAAAGGATGACACAAGTTTAAAGATGAGCATTTATAAGCAATCGTGGAGACAATAAATTGAACTGTTATACCACCCCAATTTGTTGTTTTAATTTTCCAGTCTGTCTGTCCATCTCTAAGGAAACTGTTTTAATATGGAGTATCTATTCTATATTTCATACTCTAGTTAAAGTTATCAATTTAGGTATCGTCCATAAATTACATAACGCATATCCTTGACAAATTATGTTACTATTACATAATTTATGGATAGCCCCTTATATACTATATAATTACTTAACTTTGTTTATGAGCCGAATTAGTCTTACTGCTTTTGCAGAATTACGTCAAAATTATTACTTGTACTGTACATGCCTCTAAACAATTAGAATTTCACCTCATTTCCTTATTCAACACTACCACTGTTTGATGAGGATAAGTAAAAATTAAACGAGTACGAATTTAAGAACGAAAAAGAATTTATTAAATAGTTATCACTATATTGTCAATAAAATCAATTTTTACATGTCGGAAATATGTCTGTAGGAGGAAATGGAGGACTTCCAAGAGGACTTTTATGAAAAACTGGCTTCTATTTAGGTGTTATTAACTTGAAGAAAACCCAGAAAACTCCACGTGGTCAGCATGTCCTGGAGAGGCGCTAACCCACGACCGAACTCCCAGGAACCGCTTGGCCACTGATGAACCTAGATTGAAGTTTAAGGACGTCCATCCTTTTAACCAGTCTTATATACTGCTCCACACAAACGGCGAATATCATCTCATTTTGTTTGATTCGAAAATCATTTAGATGAATAATTTATTTTATTTAACTTTATTTGGTAAATTAATTCAAAATATTATAATTTAGAGGTTTCGATTGCCTATTAATCCCTTCGTATATTATACAACCTTGACCTGAAAATTGTTAATACGAATTTTCGAGAAAGCGAACTAACTACCGTTCTACTAGCGATTCGTATTAATTAATGCGAGTTGACTGTATTTTATTAACGCATAAACACACAGAATACTAATGTGTGGACCAGTGATACACTTAGGATTTAATCTTGGAGAGTCAAATTCAGCGGATAAAAAATTTTTAATGCGAATTCAATAAAATTCCTACCATATGTGACTTTTTTTTTTAACTCCCCGCCCTGTGGGCACTAAGAGGGCCTTTTTTTGCAAGCCCATTATGGGTTCGGCCAGGCCCACAATGGGGCCCGACATATCGGAACGGACCACCCCCTAAAAATTCCTGGGGATTTTTCGACCCGTTCGGATTCGAGCCCGGGTCCCCCAGAGCGGTAGGCTGCCGCTTTGACCGCTCGGCCATCCGGCTGCACCTTATGTGACTGCTAATCCATAAGTAACATAAAATTAAAATACTACATAATATAAATAGCAAAATGAATATTACTAAGGAAAATAGTTTTGGAAAATTTACTAGTGTTTCTTTTACTTTGGAGGTGCTACCAGAATCGATAGATATACTTGTCTTTGAGCTATACTCTAAAATAAAGTTAATGTGTCAGATAGCCGATAGCTGGCGCTCGAGTCGCTTTGCGGCGGGAAAAAGCTGTTTCATTCATTTGGTTGGTAGCCAGTTTTGTCTGTGGCCAGCCTGTGGCCAGCCCATCCGAGCGAGGCGTGAACTCACGACCGAACTCCCAGGAACCGCTTGGCCACTGATGAACCTAGATTGAAGTTTAAGGACGTCCATCCTTTTAACCAGTCTTATATACTGCTCCACACAAACGGCGAATATCATCTCATTTTGTTTGATTCGAAAATCATTTAGATGAATAATTTATTTTATTTAACTTTATTTGGTAAATTAATTCAAAATATTATAATTTAGAGGTTTCGATTGCCTATTAATCCCTTCGTATATTATACAACCTTGACCTGAAAATTGTTAATACGAATTTTCGAGAAAGCGAACTAACTACCGTTCTACTAGCGATTCGTATTAATTAATGCGAGTTGACTGTATTTTATTAACGCATAAACACACAGAATACTAATGTGTGGACCAGTGATACACTTAGGATTTAATCTTGGAGAGTCAAATTCAGCGGATAAAAAATTTTTAATGCGAATTCAATAAAATTCCTACCATATGTGACTTTTTTTTTAACTCCCCGCCCTGTGGGCACTAAGAGGGCCTTTTTTTTGCAAGCCCATTATGGGTTCGGCCAGGCCCACAATGGGGCCCGACATATCCGAACGGACCACCCCCTAAAAATTCCTGGGGATTTTTCGAGCCCGGGTCCCCCAGAGCGGTAGGCTGCCACCTTGACAGCTCGGCCATCCGGCTGCACTTTATGTGCTGCTAATCCATAAGTAACATAGAATTAAAATACGACATAATATAAATAGAAAAATGAATATTACTAAGGAAAATAGTTTTGGAAAATTTACTAGTGTTTCTTTTACTTTGGAGGTGCTACCAGAATCGATAGATATACTGGTCTTTGAGCTATACTCTAAAATAAAGTTAATGTGTCAGATAGCCGATAGCTGGCGCTCGAGTCGCTTTGCGGCGATAAGTTAGTTTATCCGGTTTGTTAATAGGTAATTTTGTCGTTTTCTTGTATTTTGTAATTTTTCTCTACGAGTAAAAGAAACAAAAGCGTGCCGAATAAGTATTTTGCGACTGAGTGTAAGTCTGGATACTAAATCTGATGAGAAGCGGCATTTTTTACAGCACTTCCGAACCAGTTTTAGGTAAGTGGAAACGTTTAATTTCTCGAAAAGATTTATAACTCAACAAAATCGTGAATATGTGACTTGCATTTTAATGAAAGATTTCTGATTAAGAATTATGTTAATACTAGCTGTTACCCGCGACTTCGCCCGCGGAGGTTTTGCAAGCAAACCCCATTTATATTCAGTACTTTAACAACCATAGTAATTGTTATATAACACCTACCGCCGAAAATGATGAGAATTGCTGAGAATCAAACAAACTATTTTCAATTTGATCAATTTTCTGGAACGTTTACAACCGTTCTATAATCGAACCAATACGCAATAACAAATTCGAATTTAAAAAGGTTCGAACATTTGGTTAAAAAATCGAAATATATAAAAATATTTATAACAATGTCTGAAATGTTATTAATTTAATACACTTAAGTATTTAATGAAGACTAAATGTAACAAAAAAATGCATGTAAAATAGTACAGTAGAAGCCGTTCTTCCGGTTAAGCTTTAATCCTTTCCCTCTCCCCCCGCTGGGGAATTTCGAAAAATCCCTTCCAAGTGTGCATTCCCTTGGTGTACCCTACTAAAACGCAATTAAAAACAAAAAATCGCATGTAAAATAGTACAGTAGAAGCCGTTTTTCCGGCAAAGCCTTAATTTTCGCCCTCTCCCCCCCGCTGGGGAATTTTGAAAAATCCCTTCTTAGTGAGCGTTTTCATGACGTACCCCAACTGTTTACCAAATTTCACCTCTTTAGGTTCAGCGGTTTGCTCTGGACGATGATGAATCAATGAGTGAATGAGTCAATCAGGACAAGCAATTTTATATATATACATAATTGAGGATAAATGAGTTGAGATTCTCCGTGGAAAATAGCAACTAACATGGGAAGAAGAGCGCTTACAAGCAATCTTGGGCCAACAAATTGAACTTATCTTCAATAAATTCGTAATGCTATTTTTATTATGCTTTTCAACTTGAAACGTTTTGTATGATGCCGCACATATCCACCCTTAAAATTACGTAACGCATATCCTCGACCAGTCCCTTAATTTTACTATAAATTAATACACAGCACGGAGTACGGAACGTTATTTTATAAATTAAATGTAAGCCTATAACGTAAAAGCAGTGACAAATCTGTTTCTGAAGTGTTGCATAGTGAACGGCCATGCAACAAAAATGAATCTTTCTTTTTCTCAACGGTTGAGATCCTATCATCATGTTAAGTTTCTATATAAAACCCCCAGTTTCCTTTAATGCATAGTAACGATTCCCTGCATACCCATAAATTATGTAATGGATATATGGGTTACATAATTTATGGGTATGCAGGGAATTATGTAACGCATATATCTATTACATAATTTATGGACAGGCCATAATTTATATGCTATCAATATATAATTACTTAATGTAAGAGCCTAATTAGGTTCTTCAATAGCAGTAACAGGATATATCAAAATTATTACTCGTACCGTACATGCCTCTAAAATACTTGAATTTCACCTCATTTCCTGTTCAATATTACCAGTGTTTGATGATGATAAGTNGAAAAAGTGATGGTGATAAGGTAAGTTTATTATTATTATTATCATCATTATTATTGAAGATATAAGATATTGAGAAAGTTTGAAGTAATTTTTAAAATATGATGATGATTGTGGATTATTGAAATACTTTTTGTGATAAATTTTCTAAAACAGACAAGGTTTTCATTTTATTCATTTTTCAAATTGAACAAGTTGTACTGTTAATTCTTTTTACCTGTTTGTTCTTAGTGTTTTACTTTCTGTATATATATTATCTACTTGGACCTTGTTTATTAATAGGACTTATTATACTGGTGAAGTTTCTGAAGTTCTGAAAAGTTAGA